TTATTATTATCTTTATCATCAGTACCATTATCAATATTGTGATTATTGTCATTAACGTCATTATTATTACTTAAATTAGCTGGGAATGCATCAATAATGCAGTATCATGTTTCATTCCACGTTCCACGTTCACAGTTGCGCCTGAGATTCCCCACAAAGGCACGGCAGTGACGGTTCTGTGTGTGATGTGCAAGTCTGTCATTGCTGGAGCCTCCTCCATCTTCCAAGTTGTGTCTTCAGAGATTTATCCAACTGTCATAAGGTTCGTGGTACACATTTGCTCCAATAAACACTTGCCTACCTTAATAGTTATATCTCTCGGGGGTTTTTTTGTTTGTTTTTTTGCCGTTTTGAGTTACTAAGACCATGAGGTCCGTCACCAGTAATATGGTTTGTCGGCTCTGTCAAAATTGTAAGATTCTTCGGAGTCGTTATTCAGATAGTCAACTAAGAGTTCCATTCGAAAAAGTTTGACAAACTAAGGCACTCCAGATTTTTTACCTCAGTTTTCTCTAAAGTAGGCCTACTGTAGCGACTTCTCTACGACAGTCAGTTGTAAAGATGTTGATAGGGACACAGCATTTTACTTCTTATTTCATAACTTTGAACCTGCACCTTTCAGAACTTGCAGCCCATTTCAAAATGGACTTTTCTCTTGGAACTTTATGTTTATGACAAACATTATCTTCCCTGTATTCCCGAGCAAAATCAATTCACGGGTCGATTTGGGAGGTTTCGTTTGGTGATACACCTTCTCGGTAATAGCTGATGTGCAGGGATTAAAACTGCTTAGTCATATGGCTGTTGTGGAACGGCAATGATTATTTTAAATCAACGTAATTCGACTGTAAGTCTATGTTCCAGCTTTCGTTAAATTGTGGTGTCAATATATTGAGTCATAAACAAGAAAATTATTTTGCATTTCTCTGGACGAACTTTTTTCTTGTCAGATTGTATAATGGCAATCATATTATTATAGAACGGGTAGAAGTTATCATATTTTAATCTTATCTTACCACCGCTCTTACCAACAGGAGTTTGGGATACGGCGCCGCCAACACAGCGTCCAAGCTCGGGGCTGTTCTAGCACCTATTGTCATTGATATGGTGAGTTGATTATGGAGGTCTCTACACCCAAGTTTTACCCAAAATCTCTCTTGTTTTCTTAACTCTCTATAGAGCGGAGGACATCAAGAATTTCCCTCCAAACATGCTTCTCCAGTGTATGCTATTGTAGTTGTGTCCAAGTTTCGCAAAATTTAAGCGCATTTTTGTGGGTTCTATAGTCGTGTGAGTCTGATCCAGTGTAAACCCCCCCCCCCTTCCCTTCCAAAAAACATTAAATAAAGAAAGAAAAAAAGAAAAGAAAATATCGTCTCTGTGTCATCTCTCTTTTTCTTGATGCGCATCTAGATCTGATTAAGTCTGATCCTATAAAACGTGTTCTTGAATGCCTGTTTTTCTTTGTTTTTGTAAGTGTTTTACGGCGCTCGCAACTGCATAAGGCCATATGAGCGTGCGGGACACATTAAACGGGAGATTTTCTCTGTAATAATTATTTTTGTGTCCTTGCCCCCTTTCCTAATACAAGCATTATGTGTAATTATTCATTTATTCATTTAGTTTGTTTGCTGAATTGTTTATTAATTTAAACATGTTTATCTATACAATATATGGAAATGATTTTGGCAGTTGCAGAGCTTTAACATAGTGTTCAATTCATTGCCCGCTGAGAGTGTATGTATGTCATTCGATCAGTCATAACCTCACCATTATGCTTTTAATGTTTTTTTTTTTTTATCAAACCTATGCCATGTTGGTTATTGTAACCTTGGTAACAATAAACAAAGTATACTAAGAATGGCCCTCCTCTCCTAATTCTCTCAGGGTCCTGGGCGAGTTACAGCTTCGTACGCCATTATGTCTGGCCTTTGCTTCCTCTGCATATTGGCCATCCTCTCACTGCGCGAGACCAGAGGAACAGAAATGGAGGACACCCTCCAGGAGCCCCCAGCGTCAGCAGAAACAGCACCTACCATTACAGCAGCACCAGCTGAAGCAGCACAGTCGATATTATCATCTTTCTCGTTACCACACACAACATGTAATTCATCGGAATCATCATCATCATCGTATGAACGCGGGAGCGACATAGTTTTAATGGAAAGGCGGGCACAGAAATACAACGGTTCAAAGATACATTCAGAAAAATTCGATTGCGAAGCAAGTGTTTCTGGAGAGATAAGTGAATTTGCGAGTACTTCTGTGGATCAAGATGATGACAGTGCTGATGGTACTGCAGCCGATGGTGAAATATCACCTCTAATTCAACACAGGCCTATTAAATATGTTTCCTAGTTCTTTCAGTTTGGTATTTCATTAAATCTATTGGTCTCCTTAACAGAGAATAATAGAGATAGATACATACAAGCCAGTTGTGCTATACGGATTAACTTTCATAGTTAGGAAACATACATTGAAAATACATTACTGCATGAAGCTGTGGCGAGCTTTGCTTTATGTCATCGTTACAAGCGATTGAAATTTTGTTTTCATTGTGGCGAACAGTAAAGTTTGATTTTTTAAATGTTGTTTTGATAATGTCAGTGCCCTTTAATTATGAGGGCATACGTTATAGTAGTATGAAATGATAAAAACCAGCCATTGTGAAGCATTTTAATACATATTAAATGGTCTTTTTTTTAAACTGCCATCTTTATGTTTTTCTCTTTGTTTGTTAGTTTGTTTGCTTTTTTTGGGGGGAGGGGTTGTTTTGTTTTTGTTTTTGTTCTTTTTGCTTGTGGCAGTAAATGCGTGATAGTTGTTTCAGATACAAGCATAGATACGAACATGATTACACACTGCATACATTGACAACAGGTTCAGCGTTTGACTTGGACGCTTATTCTTTTCTTCTTTTCAAGAAATCTTATTCTCATAACTTTGCCCCGACAGGTGATAAGGAGAGGGATGGAGAGATCAGTGCCATGTCTGACTTAGATACAAATAGAGATAGATAGATAGATAGATAGATAGATAGATAGATAGATAGATAGATAGATAGA